AGCAACCAGTAGCAACCAACGGATCAGATTCATCACAGAGTAAATACAGCCCCTACTATAGCATATTTTAATGAGGCATGAATAAAATGGACTTCAGTCAGATCATGAGGCTAGGTCAGTGCTGTGCTGGCTGTTAATTAGTAATCTGGGCAGCAGTACCTCACGTCCTTTGGTTCACTGTTAATCTAAGAATAGTGATTAATGCAGCTTTAAATAAAAGACACGAGTTGTCCTTCAAAGCCTCACACTCTAATTATTCCCTGTATGAGTGATAAGACTATGGCAAGGCTGAAGAAGGCTTCAGGCATACCCAGAGGTAGTAGGTGAACTGCAGGGCGAAGATTGCGATCCCTTCATTGTCAAAGGATCCAGCCACGGAGCGGGAAATGTAGCCAGGAACGATGGCGATGAAGCAGGCTGCCAGCAGTCCTGCCCCCTGGTTCCACAGCTCCCTCGTGAGCAGAAAGGTGGAGATGGAGGTCAGGCCGCTGAACACCGGGGCCAGGAACACGCAGACGTCCCGTATGTGGACGGTGATGTGCAGCAGGTTGAGCACATAATGGATCAGGCCTGCTGTGACCATTAGGCCTGGGTACACCTAGAAGGAAGAGGGTTGAAATTTATTCAGAATATCATAAATCTTCATTTCCATTTCACTCAATGTGTTAAAGCCTTATCTAAAAAAACAGCAATATTTATTAAATAATTCATTTAAGCAATGTGGGTGTGCACATAACTCCTCCTGGGACATACAGTGTATAGATTTCATTAATTAATGGGTGCACTGGAACCCTCCGCCTCCGCCTCTCGCCCAGCTGTGATTGTATCGCTTTCTATCTCACAAGGAAACGACTGCCCAGCCCTAACGCATTGTTTCTACAGACTGCACACACACACCGCTATAATTGTATCGCTTCAGTAGAACATTTTCTCTTCCCAGTGTCACATTATGCAAAAACACATTCAAGCTGTTGTTTTCTCTGATAATGTGAACGCACTGAAGTGCACTCTGGGAAACAGATTAGCCCATAACCCATACAGAGAGATCACACGTAAGTTATAAATATAGAGAAGAGGAGGAGTCAGGCGCTCAGAGATGAGCTGTAATGTAATGACGAGTTAAAAGTGACTCCAGCCAGTCTGTCCTTTAGCGGCTATGAAGACAGATCCACTCTGTGTCGTACAAGCTCTTACCTCCCCGCTTCCCCTCAGAGTCGTTTAGCCATCCAGTCATGCTTTAGTTTGTGTGTGTGTGTGTGTGTGTGTGTGTGTGTGTGTGT